CGTGCACCATGCTCCCGGGGCCAGCTACAGCCCAGCGCATGCACCACGTGCCTGGGGCCAGGCCAGCCCCGAGCACTTGGCAGGCGCACACAAATGGCCCCGTGGGCGCCATGGCGCCCACGGGCAGTGTTGGGGACCACTGCTTTAGTGGGTCTCTTCTACCTCTCATTTCTACGAACAGTTCAAATTCCCATGTCATGCACAACAGTAATAGAACCCTTGAAAAACCAGCCCAGGCACAGCAGACATTTGAAATAGCTGCAGAATGCTGCCCAGCGGCAGATATCGGGCAGGGCGAGCAGGGCGGCTGCCCCGGGCCCCGCGCCTGGTGTTTTAAAACTCTCATCTGCCCTGCTTAGAGCAGGGTCGGCAGCCTGGGCCCGCGCGGGAGCCTGATGTGGCACTTTGGAAGCTCGAGCCCCACCCCCACCGCAGCAGGCAGCCCGCGCAGGAGCAGCAGCGGTCCAAGCAAACCCCGCACTGGTCGGGTCCGGCCGCGAGGCAGCAACAGCCCCGCCCCCACGCAGAACAGACCAGCATGGCAGGGCCTGTTGGTGGAGGGTCCCTTGGGGCCGCTCCTGCTCCCCCGCACAAGCCCATTGGCCGGACCTGGACAATGGCAGCTGCAGGAACCCACCAATCACTGCTCCCCTCAGGCTTTTAATCCCCCAGCACATGGCCAGGCAGCGCCTGTGGGAGAAACAGACGAGCAGTGCTTCTAGGTATGTGGCCCCCCAGCCACTCCCACTCCAATATCTTCACCCACATAACCCTCCTCCCAGACCCTGCACCCCAGTCCCCTGCCCTGGGGCACAGTCCAAACCCCTGGCCAGACCTGCCCCAGGCCAGCTGGTCCCCAGCCCACTTGTGTGGTCCCAGCTGATTTTTCTGTGGGGTCAGTGGCCCCTAACCCAGGAGAAGTTTCCCACCCTGCCACAGATACAGGAGGCCCCTGCTTTATAATAGCCCGATTTACAACCCTCCCCCCACCACCACCATTATGACCTTTTTCCAAAGTGGGGAAGGGGCTAAAATCCCCCAATTTACATCCTTGGCCTATTGTAAATGCAGGCTCAAGTTAGGACTAGGGTTGCCAGGTGTCTGGTATTGGCCCTGACAGTCCAGTATTTATGGCTTCTGTCAGGTAAAAAAAACCCAGAAAATACCGGACCAGTAAAATGTCTGGTATTTTCAGTTTCTCAGCTAGAAAGCCACTTGGGACGTTCTTGCCCTGCCATGTCTGGTGGGGATGGAGAGTGTGAGATTTAAAGGTGCTATGATTATTTTTTGGGGGCGGGGAGGGCACTTTTTTTGCTCAACATTTGGACATCTCTCCCCTTTTTATTAATGCAGAATTTTGTTTAAAAATTAATTACAATATAATTAGAATAAAAATTATCCAACGAAATTAAGTTTCTATCAAATTTACCCAATTCACATTTAATATGAAAATAGCCTTTAATTTGTGCATTTGACACCTTTTACCGCCCTCTTCAACCCAAGTGTTAAAACCTTTTATTTTGGCCTGTTCCTGCTGCTGCACCACACATTAGTTCTTCTGTGATGCTGCAGCAGCAGTGGCCAAGTGTGACACTGGAGAACACTGCCTCTGTCCCTTCAGTGAGAAGAGTTGCAAAGCAGTTGACACAGCTGCCACTTTGAAGCAACAGTTTCTCTCGCCCTTGTGTAGTACACCTTCTAGCTGCCAGTGCTCTGACCTGCCTGGCCATTTCATCTAGCAGCCTAGAGATCAAGTATTTAGCTGCACTGAGCTAGGAATTTTTAAATAGCCCCTTTTTGTAATACAACATTGTTAGGGGAAGAGTAATTTCTGCCTCCCATTACAGCTTTCAATAGAATCTGATCCAATGAATCGCTCTCAAAATGAATACAGCAGTACAAACTTTTCATCTTCTGGCGGAAATTAAGAGTATGGCTGCCTTGCCTGCATATTTTTAGCAAACATGTGTCCAAGTTCATGTCATCAACTCCAGAATATTCCTGTACAAAAAACCTAAAAAGGGAATTCTTTGCCATCAGATTTGTATGCTGGAATTCTGTGGAACAGGGACAGAAAATCCTCAACTGTTGTGTCTCAGTTCCTTAGTAACAGGACTGAGGGTATAACAGCGGTTTATCAAAAACCGGAGATCTAGGGAGCCTTCACTCTGGATTTCTCACAACAGCCTGCATGTCTATTAACTTGCAAGCAGAGAAAAGCTTTTACTAAGTTGGTCCTTTTAATGTGTTGTGTCCTATTTAATAATCTTTCACCTCTAGACTGTGTCAAATATTAGGAATGTGTATTAAAAAACTGATTGGATATGCAATTTCAGTACTTCCCTGTTCCTACACATACACCTGAATTCCAATTCCACATGTAGCATTATCATTCAGGTCACATATAAAAAAAGGCAAATTTAAGGTTTATCTAGGCTATACTTACACCATCAAACCATTTTAGTGGGAAGACAGCTTTCACCTGTAACAGTTGTTATACCAGTTCCATGAATTAGATAAACTATAGCAGCAAAAGCAGTTTTTTCTGCTATAAATATCCACACAAGGGCTTTTTCTGACTTGGCCAATTCAGTTTGGGCTATCATTTTTCCCCGTCTTCTAACTTGGCCTACATTTAAGCTTTGCTGGCAAAGCCTTAGACTGGAAAATGTCCAGTTTAGGGATCCTTGTGCCTGCCCTAAGACTGCAGTGTGTGCTCACCTATTGGACACACCTGTCACTTCACTTGGTGAGCCTTCCACCTACAAGTTGTTTTAAAAACTTACAAAAACCAAGCACTTGTTCACTGAAGGATGCCAGAGTGACTGGCCCTTGCAAGAAAGGAAGCAGGGTCCAGAGCACTGGGTCTGATTACCTTCTGCCCAACTGGGTTTAAGGGAAGGCACATGAGCCTTACATGGGGCAGACAGCTGAGTTGGTGTGGGATGTCTGTCAACACTCCAGGGAGGAAGAAGGCTCCTGCTGGGCCTGAAGATAGAGGGAAAAGATGCGAGCACAGAAAGGCCATGGAGGTCGACCAATAGTGAAGAGGTGCTGGGAGAGCAACGTTTCTGTTGGGCAGAAAGGCTTTATGCAGGACTTAAGCTGGACCCTAGAAGCATTTTGAATATCTGTATTGTGTGGACTTTTCAAGCAAGCCTGAGTTAACTGGAAATTTGAGACCGGCTTCAGCGGAGCCAAACTTGTTAAGCACAAGGCACCAGAGGTCAGATGAGTTATTTGCTAGAATGCAAGAGCAGTTTCCACTTCAACCAATAAAGTTATGCAAGCAGTGATTAATTGGGTTTAAAATTTAATGTAAAATCCTAGAGTCAATGAGCTAGCACCAGAATCAGTCCTGAATACATCTTGTACATTAGAATATATTTAGAAGTGGTATGTCTTGTGAACAGATTGTCTTCCTACCCTAGTCCTCAGTATAGCATTGAGGTCTCAAGTTATGGCTTGTCTCGCAAGCCAGTACATCAGCTTGCCATGGTGTAATATCCCATGTGGAAAACATTACAGGGCACTGCAAGTCCTGGAGTGTGCCCTGGCATACATATGTACAAAGAACTACATTATGTTTACAGTAAACAGACTCTAGATTGTTTTTAGATCAGTGACTGTGCCCGGAATACATGGGGACAATAATTATCTATGTATTTATGACTCTCATCAGCAGTTATCAAATTCACCAAGTATAAAAATTATCAGTCGTTGAACAGCCCAGATGACAGAAGAGGAGGGTGTGGGTCACTTAATGTTTACAAGGTTTTAACGTCATAGGACTTATGCTGTTAAATTACCATTCCAATAAAGTCTTTTCTCTTGGTAGGAGTGACTCATTTGCCCCATGTAAAGTTTTCAAATGACACTCCCATGTCACAAATGGTTCATTGTTACAGTAACACTTGCTTTCAAACCAGCCATATGCTTTCTGTATGAGATGAAAGGAAGGACTCACCTGCACTGCCAAGCTGTTTATAAAACCTGTACTCTAAATGAAGTTGTGGGGCACGGGATTTTATTGGTTCCTGCAACCAGAGAAGGATGAAATAATGGTCACATTTAAATACAATTTAATGTCTATGGACATTTTTCAAATTTTACGCCAACCCACTGCCACCCAAACAGTTCAACTGCACATAATAATCTAACACAAGAATGGACTATTAGTGGTCATCTAAATGAACAGTGGACATAACAATAGACACTACTATAAGAACATTATCTCACTTAGGAAGAAGTTCTAATTTTAGACAATACACCTCTTTCAATACTTGAAGTCCCAGAAAAGAGAAGACAAACTTCCACTGAAAGATGCTCCTACTTGTATGACCCTATCTGAGAAACAGTCACAGCCCTGTAAGCATATTCTCTAGAACACACACCACCAGCAATGTACAAGGCACAACCACTGGATCACTGGCAGTCCGCATGGCCTTTTTGATCATCACTAACATCAGTTTAAGCTAATTTAAAACCACATTTTGCTGGTTTAACCAGCACCGTAATTGTATAAGCATATGTATAAGCATATGGCCTTGCTGGCAGCAAGCACTGTGAGCTGCCCAATAAAAACCATCTCATATTGGAGTCTTCCATGCGGAACCCCTTAAATATCCCAAAGTGAGTAACTTACAATATTCAACCATCTCTGATTTTAAAAATTTGGTTCATGTGTTGGTTTATAAAAATATCCAATGAAGGCTCTTTAAGTGTTACACAGATGGAAGTTGAAATTGGTAGAGTCAAACTTTGTTCAAATGTCTAAAGAAAATCATTTAGGACCTGCTTCAGGTACAGTTTCAATTGAGTCTCCCGTGTCAACTCTTCCCTAATTAAAGTGTTGTGCGATGTTAGCTAAGGGTAGCACAGGCCTTGTAGAGGAATTGAGCACGGTCTCTGCTGAAGCATGCAATACTGGACACGTACAAGCACTCACTCTTTACTCAGATTCCCAAAAGTCAATTGCATACCGCTGAAGGACAGAGTCCAGCCATCTTCACATGTTTTTATTGTAATTAATCCTCCATAGTTTGCCACCTGACTATGAACACATAAGGTGGTCTGGATGAAGGGGCAAGTAATCCAAGGAGCACTGTGATCCTCAGTTTTGGGCACACCTCAAATTCAGCTGGAAGCAAACAGAACTCTTGGATGATGTGGCAGACGAGGTTACGTCCCCTCTAGCAAACTCATGTCATTGTCATTTAATAGATTTAGGGGACAGCACCAAAGTTTTGGAGTTGCGCCTTGTCAAAAAAAGTGTCCTCAAACTGAGATTTTCCCCTGCTTCCTCCTTCATGGCTGTGTCCTCAAACAGATTTTCCCCTGCTTCCTCCTTCATGGCTCACAAAGGCTATCGAGATCAAGCTGTGCAAGGCTCCATCTTTTAACCTGTTCTCTTGGAGTCTGACAAAGATCAGGAACCTGCACACTGCACACAAAATAGGCAGCTTCTCACACGGTCTGGGTGAACTTGTGGCTTACTCAGACACTGTTCAGGAATTAACTGTAAAGACAGACAACTAAAGTTTTAGAATAGCTTCAGTGTGTTTTTCTTGAATAAAAAAAGCAATTTCTGTTTTAACAACATTTATTTGCTTTGGGGACTGAGAACTTTCTGGTTGTCTTTTTTGTTTTCAAGATGTACATCTTGGGTTTTTATGGAATCAAAAAGCTAGCTCATGTGTTTCTGCCAGTGGTCAATGTGTTAAGTGCTGTACAAAGGCAAAATATTTGCCCTAACAGGCTTGCAATCTTTAAAACAATAATGCTGAGGCAACACAATCATGGACACCATCTAGTCTAAGATGGCAACTTTTGAGCATATACACGATAACCCAAGAGTTAGCACCATTCTCTATGCGATATCCTCTACACCATTGTTCCAGTTTAAGAAAGGTGTCACAGCTATGCTTCAAAATTCTCAAAATATCTATTCTAACTGAAAAGTCTTGCTCTCTATCAACATACTACCCTCGCCCAGGACGACCTCGCTTCTGTTCAACCAGAATACAGTAAAAATAAACGTAGGATGAAAAAGCTGCCCCCATGCATGATATTTGCAATGGTCAAAATATTTTTAGGTATATAACCATTAAGTTCTACTCACCAGTTTGATTGCTACATATTCATTGGTATAGAGATTTTTCCCTGTGAAAGAGAGAAAGATTTTCAGTATCACAAGTATGACAGACAGTATTGCTAGCCTCAGGAATTGTGCATGATAAAAACCTATGAGCAATTCAGACAGTACCATGAACAAACCAAACCTAGGTACAATTACTCATAATCCATAGTAAGTATTATAGCTCACCAGGCTACACCAGTAACAGTCTGGACTAATTTAGGGGAGATAATGGTTTTTAACCAAATGAAATTTTTAGTTAAATTTGATTTTTTCTTATAAAAGGCTTTTTAGAAAAGAAACCCATTTAAAATTAAAATAAGAATATGACAGCTGATATTAAACCTAAGGATACGATCATCTATTGCAAATGTTAACCAATATGCATCTGCTCCCATTTAACTAAAAGTTAAACCACTGAACTGGTGGAAGACCCTGACTAAGCATCTTGAACCAGAGGCTGCTGAAGAGCTAAATCAGCTTTTAACAGAAGTTAGCCTCTTCTGCAACTGCAGTGAATATTTTCTTGATTTCAGTTTATTCAGCTATTTTAGCTCAATGGCTAGTTCATTCAAAGTTAAGAAACCAATGAGAGTAGAAAAAGCAGAAAAGCTTGTCTTCCTCTTCCAGTCTAAGAATAAAATAGATGAGAGGGAGAGATCTAAAACTTAAGGTTTTAGAACTAAATGACTTGGCAACCCAAAACAAGTTCAATTCACTAACTACAGATACTGTACTACCCTTGTCTGATAAGTTTTACATGTAAAATATGGTGTAACAACCTGATAAGTTTGTGATAATAATAAAAAAAAAATCTTACACTTTTTTCTTAAGTAAAACTTTTAATATATTGTTTTTATACATTTAATTGAATTGGAATTTCCATCCAAACAGAGCTTGACAAATTACAAGTAAAAAATTAATCTAGGAATTAAGATATGCATTAGTCATGGTCATCTAAAATAAAACCAATAACAATTAGCAATCTGAATAATGTCAGTTAATTGCCTAAACATTAGAGATGTAAGCGACTAGTCGACTATCCAATAAGCCTAAGCTTATCACATAGTCAACTAGTGACTCAATCAGCAGGATCAGGAGCCGGTACTGGGGTGAGCCAGCTTAAAAGCTGGCTTTCCCCAGCACCATCTCTGCAGAGGGCAGGGGAGGCAGAGGTGTAGCGGGGAACTAGGTGCAAGCTGGGACAGTTGATTCCTGGTTCGTGCCCAGTCCTCCCACTGCTGCACTTCTGCTTTTTAAATGTATTAAGAGCCGCTGCTACGAATACATTTAAAAAGCAGAAGGGCAGTGGGGTTAGCTCCCGGGGCTGGGAGCTAACCCCACTGCAGCTCTGCAGTTTCCCCCCTTATCGACTAGTCAACAGAAATTCCATTGACTAGTCCATTTGTTCATTAAACACAATTTAACACCCCTACTAAATACATTTGTCTAGTGTTCTCCCGATTAAAAAAAGAGCAGCACAAAATTAAGTGTAAAGGCTCTATTGTGGCTACATTTACATTGCACTGCAGTGTGAACTATGGGGATACATAGATATAGCAGAGCTCTCCAAAGAGCTGTGCTTTAACTGCCCCACGTGGACACTACTGGCGCAAACTAAAAGATCTCTACTCCACGTTAATATATAGAGGATTGCATTAACAGCAACCAGGCACCAATTAGTTGGTGATAGAAGTGTCCACATAGGGAAATTAGTGTAACTTTGTTGTGCTCTGCAATTCACACCCTGACAATCCGCACTGTGCCACAGCGCGCACAAGCCTTAAACTGAAAAATCAACATGTTTTAATGGTTACCAATCAATCAAAATCAACCTCTTTAAAAAGATAACAATAGTACAAATGCCAAGCACAATTCAAGTCAATTATTTAAAGTGGGGATTTAAATAAATCGACCCTGCAGTAATTAGCAAGATACCAACAATACCTACACAGGCTGGGTTATTGTCTGGGTAGCCTTCATGTTCAGTACATATATTCCTGATTGTCCCTGCTTTATTTGTACCATACCCAAAAGATATGCAAGGCAAACTTTCTATAGTTTGTTACAATGTATTTGCAGAACAGGGAACCAAGAGAAGCTACTAAAACTGCTTTGAGAATTAATTTTCCTCTAGGAACATGAATCCGGCTAGAAGTTACAAGACTTGTTTCACTGGTTTTCAATGCTGAGGTCTACAAACATAAGAACGGCCATACCGGGTCAGACCAAAGGTCCATCTAGCCCAGTGTTCTGTCTGCCCATAGTGGCCAGTGCCAAGTGCCCCACAGGGGAGTGGACTGAAGACATTGATCAACCGATTTGTCTGCTGCCATCCATCCCCAGCCTTTGACAAACATTCTTTACCTCTTTGGCTAATAGCCTTTTATGGACCTAACCTCCATGAATTTATCTAGCTCTTTTTTAATGAATTTATATAGTTCTTTCTTGAACCGTGTTAACGTCCTGATCTTTACAACCTCCTCTGCCAAGGAGTTTCACAGGTCAACTGTATGCTGTGTGAAGAAAAACTTCCTTTTGTTTGTTTTAAACCTGCTACCTATTAATTTCATTTGGTGATCCCTAGTTCTTATGTGATGGGAACAAGTAAATAACTTTTTCTTACTCACTTTTTCCACACCAGTCATGGTTTTCTAGACCTCTATCATATCCCCCCCTTAGTCTCCTTTTTATAAGCTGAAAAGTCCCAGTCTTTTTAATTTCTCTTCATATGGGACCAGTTCCAAACACCTAATCATTGTTGTTCCCCTTTTCTGAACCTTAGATGAAACCACCACATCTGTATGCAGTATTCAAGATGTTGGCGTACCATGGATTTATATAAGGGCAATAAGATATTTTCAGTCTTATTCTCTATCCCTTTTCTAATGATTCCTAACATCCTGATTGCTTTTTTTTAAATGGGATGATCCAATCTGCATACAGTATTCAATATGGGTGGGGTAGCATGGATTTATATAGCAGCAATATGGTATTATCCATCTTATTTATCCCTTTCCTAATAAAACCCACTCTTAGGGTTTTTTTATTGGCACTAGACATGAAGCAGATATTTTCAGACAACTAACCACAATGACTCCAAGATTGCTTTCTTGATGGGCTCAGCTTGTATAAACCCCATCATTTTCTATGTATAGCTAGGTATGTCTGCAAACTTCGCCACTTCACTGCTTACCTCTTTCTCTACATCATTTATGAATATGTTGAATAGGATTGGTCCTAGGACTGACCCTTGGGGAACACCACTAGTTACCCATTTCCATTCTGAAAATGTACCATTTATTCCTACCCTTTGTTTCCTGTTTAACCAATTCAGTCCATGAAAGAATGTTCCTTCTTATCCCATGACAACCTAATTTACACAAGAGCCTTTGGTGAATGACCTTGTCAAAGGCTTTCTGGAAATCTAAGTACACTATATCTACTGGATCCCCTTGTCCACATGTTTGTTAACCCTTTCAAAGAACTCTAATAGATTAGTAAGACAGGATTTTCCATTACAGAAATCATGTTGACTTTTGCCCAACAAATTATGTTCTTCTACAGGTCTGCCAATTTTATTCTTTACTATTGTTTCAACTAATTTGCCCGGTACTGACGTTAGACTTACTGGTCTGTAATTGCCAGGATCGCCTCTAGAGCCCTTTTAAAATATTGGCATTGTTAGCTGTTTTCCAGTCCTTGGGTACAGAAGATGATTTAAAGGTTATCTATAACAGGATGAGCATACTACTTTTACTCCTACTGCACTGGCACAGCATTTGCACAGATGTATTCTCTGTATGTGAATGCAAGGACTACTCTTAGAAGCTGGATTTTAGTACAAAGATGCATATAGATGTACATCTCCCTCTGCTAAGAAGCCATATTGTGAGTGCCCCAGGGACCACAAGGACACAGAGTCCGGGCTCTAGGCTGAACGTGAATATGTACATTGCCATTTTATAGCCCCTCAAGCCCAAATCAGCTGACATGGACTAGCTGACGGTGCTTTATTGCAGTGTAGACCTACTCCGAGAGAAGCCTCTATGAAATACGATGCATGGCAGATCAGCCACGTGTGCTCCCAATTCACTCACGTGTCTGGCAACTAAAAAGGCAACCTTCATGGATAGCATGGCATGGAACACGCGGCCATAAGTTCAGTCCAGTAAGTACTGAGTGTATCAAGGTGAGGTTTCACCACTGGTACAAAAGTCTCTGCTTCCTGCTGGCATGGAGAAGCCACAGAGAGAGCAGTAGCTCCCACTGCCACAGTGCGGGGTGGGGGCAGAGCAACCCGATGCCACCCCACACAACACCCATCTATAGGATAGTGGGCACAGCGACCAGAGGGAGCCCCCAAAGCGTGGGGCCTAGAATGGGCTGCTGCCCTGAACCACCCTATGGATACGATGGCTCTGCTTAGGAATGAGTACTCCCGAAAGGGGGCGGAGAATCCTAGTAGAACACAAGCTAAACGTGAGCCAAGAGTGTAACACTGTTACAAAAAGAGGTGAACCCCATTCAGGGATGCACTAGAGCAGGCCTACTCAACTTTGAAAGCCCCAGGGGCCACAATGATACTCACAGCTCATGCCGAGAGCTGCAACTGAAGTGTGGTTGCAGATACATATAAATATATATATGCAAATAGCTTCTTTCACAATGACGAGCATGAACACAAAGCACTTCCCACAATGCTCTGGCACTCCCAGCACCACCTTCCAGGGGACTAGAAATGCCAACAACCTATATTTCAATGCTCACCCCTCCTGGGAGATGCCTCCCCATCATGTAGCGTGTTCTCAGTGGAGGCCGTGTTCAAAGGATCCTACCTGTAGGCCGCATCTTAAGCCCTACATAAGCCTAAACTGCACTGCAGGCTGCAAACAAATGGGCTGCAGGCCACATGTTGCATAACCTTGCACTAGAAGGAATGCTGTAAGCACAACAAGCAGTTCCACTCTATTCTGCACTGATTAGCCAACAACTGGAGTACTGTGTTCAGTTGTGGGTGAAACAC